ATTGTTTGCGAATGACAATACTTATTGAAGAATGCACAGAATCTCACGGTTACTGTATCTCCTCGCTTGAATTGAATAACAGTTATCAGTTAAAGTCACCATGAAGTTAAAGGGATACTTCAGGATTTAGCATTAAGTTTTGTATTAGTAGAAAACCTGTAGTATTTTTTAAATTACCATGCTTTCCACCCTCATATCCCTTTGAGATGCGAGATTTATTTTTTGTTTCGTTATTTAGAAAAAATCCACAGAAGACGCAAAAATCTTCATTTTGCGTCTTCGAAGGATTTTTTTGTCCAGAGGCTAAAGACTACAGTCAGTAGTCGGGTCTGTCCCGCATGTTCTCAACCCGCCCATAGAGGGTGATCTCACTCACAGAATGAACATATAGTGTCCGCCATCTTTTTTTGGAAGCTAAGCTAGCAGGCTCTTGTTCTGTGGAGAAAGCTGAGTAGTAGGGGGTCACCATCCTGTTTTTCCCGGACATGTCCGGACATGCAGTCGCCATTCATTGTTTACAAGCACAGCTTTTGTTTCAATCTAACTGAATTCATTCTGATTGGTGAATCTGAATGTAGTGTTTACATAAACGCTAAACAAGTGATCGGTTGATGTGCGTTTTAACATTGCAAAGAAAGTTCCCGCTCCTCCGTGAGAGATACGAGACCGGTGCGTCTCACAGGTGTCGCTCATCGGTAATCACACCACCGGCCTCGCGCCATTCTCCCGCGGCCCTCATTCGTCCCGCTCGCCATAGTAAACACGATGAATGGCAACTGTAGAACGAAAAAAAAAAGCCGAATCCCGGATATTTTGGGCGATCTCAAAACACATTTTCAGGCAGACTCATCACGGAGACTCACTAGTAGCCTAGACTTGATGTTTAACTACTGCGCTCTGTTACCGGTAGGCGTGGCCTCCTAGGGCAGTGAAGCAAGTGCATTCTGGGAGTTGTTGTCTTTCATCCACATAAGCCAAAAATACATTTTCTGGCTTTTCTCAGTCTAGAAAGCTCCAAATACAAAAATAATTTCACATTTCTTCTACATAAATGACCCAGCAGCTAATCTTCTCTTCTCTCATGACGTGTTTACTGGCACAAAGGCGGGACAACCTGTCACACATGAGATTGACCAATAGAAAACCACAACCATCCATTCCAAATGGACAAAATCAAGTCCCGCCCTACATTATTTCTTGTTCAAGAAGCTGTTTCACTCTGATATACATCAGAATAGCGATGACAAGACGATTGCAGCTTCCGTTTCTTGCTGACTTTAAGATATATTGTTCATGAGCGTCAAAATCTACTTCTTGTAGAAGGCGGGACAAACAAAGCCCACACCATCCCACTAGCATTATCACATCCATCCTGTTTTTAACTTCAAGTGGTCAACTGATGTGTAATTATGAGTAACTTTCAGCCTGATCAGGGAACCCACACAGCGTAGGTGTACGACCCAGGAGATCTTTAAACATCCTTCAGCGAATACAGTTTGCACAAAAATATCAATTATGTCATCATTTACTAACACTCATGTCACTCCAAAACCATTAAACCTTCTGTTCATCTTCAGAACACAAATGAAGATACGTTTAATATCCCTCATCCTTTTTGTCCATCCCCTGAAAGTCTTTCACACTTTCACACATAAAAAGTATCCAGATCTTATCTTATAACGGTTTCGGATTTATAACGGATTATTCAGATGTAAACATAAACATTGATCAACACACATAAAGAACAGCAAATTTGCTAACGGAAGCTCAAACGTGTTTGGTTTGTTCTCATTCGTCAAACAAGCTTGGTTGAAATTTCGGTCACACTTTATTTTAAAGCTACACTGTGTGATTTTTACCCCCACCTAGTGGTGAAAAGGTATATGACCATCCAGTGAATATTAGTTTCTGTTCCTCTCAATTCCGATTTCGTTTTAACTCCTACGGTGGCCAATGTAGTCCAAGATTAACATGGCTTCCAGTTCGACCTCGTCCATGAGTGTTAACTCAAACGTAAACATGAAAGGCGAAGCTTGAATTAAAGGGTATGTCCCTCTTTGGCTAATGGAGGGGCAACATGGCGACCGACATTAGAACCCCTTCCCTGTATGTATTTTCAATGGCATATTATACACTAACGAGAATACTTTATTACTTGAACGAAGTAAATATACATTAATGAACATATATTTTTGAAAGAACTAAGTGTTTTTAGCTAAGAATAAACTAATATAGATAGATAACTAATATAGATAACTAATAGATATTAGGCCTACTATGGTTAGTACATGTAACAGGTAACAAGGACACTGTAAAATAAAGTGTTACTGAGATTTCATTTCCATCACAGTTGATTAGAACAAATAAATAAATCGAGAATTGCATTGATTCACATGTGATGCACATATATACACTGTTGAACAATGTTTGTAGCAAATAGTCCACAGGGCTAAACATTGGCAAAGCTGGAAAAACACCCTCATATGTTAAGCTTTTTCATTAAGCATAATGCCTTGTCCATTAAGGGGATATATCTGTTTAGATCTCATTTGGCTTTGATCTGAGGAGAGAATCCTCCCTTTGGAACAGATCTCATTATAAATGTGTATGACTAATTAACCAGCTCCTATAAGGCTAATTGTAGTAAACCCACAACAACTTAAGCAAATATTGATTTAGTCATTGTGAGTCCAGAACTACCATAAGATTAAACAGGAACATAATAAATGATCATGTGATACGGCTGTTTAAAAGATAAACAGTGAACGCCTTTCCGGAAATAAACACCCTTTAGTGAATCAGACAGGAAAAGGGAAGGTGAAAATTGCAACATTGCACAATTAGAGAAAACGCACCAGCTATATTAACCACCCACACACTCAATGCTTTAATTATCGATTTGAATAAATAAAGACCATAATAAATGGAAATTCTGTTTGGCTGATTAGTCAGTTCAGATTTCTTCCAATTGTCTCGCACACTAGGGTTCCACAAGCACGGTTGTTTAATAAGCCACTGACTGCAGACATAGACGAGTTGCTGGCAGGATCTTATTAGGATGTAGCCCAGAGGAAGAACTCAGCCTCAGTCATTGGATTGGACAGACCCCTGATACCTTCATTGGGCATGAAGTGAACTACCAGCAACAAATTAAATAGTGACCTGAGCTAACCAACAATGCATCAAAGTCATCAAGTTACTAAACTGATCCCCCTTTTAGTATTGTTCCAAGGTCTTTGTTATTTTAGCTATTTAACTTAGTAACAAACATCAAACTGGATTATTCATGCATTTTAAATTAAGGATTTACACTATTCAGACCAAGCGTCTACACTCTCAGAAAAAAAGGTACAAAAGCTGTCACTGGCGCTGTCCCTTTTCAAAAGGTACACTTTTGTATCCAAAGGCTACATATTGGTACCTTAGTGGTACATATTAGCACCTAAAATGTACATATTAGCACCTGAAATATACATATTAGCTCATGAAATGTGCATATAAGCACCTAAAATGTACATATCATCAACTAAATTGTACATATTAACCCCTAAAATTGACATATTACCACCCAAAATGTACATATTACCACCTAAAATGTACATATTATCACCTAAAATGTACATATTAACACCTAAAATGGACATATTAGCTCATGAAATGGACATATTAGCACCTAAAATTGACATATTACCACCTAAAATGGACATATTAGCTCATGAAATGGACATATTAGCACCTAAAATTGACATATTACCACCTAAAATGGACATATTAGCTCATGAAATGGACATATTAGCACCTAAAATATACATATTAGCACCTAAAATGTACATATTAACACCTAAAATTGACATATTACCACCTAAAATGTACATATTAACACCTAAAATGCACATATTAGCACCTAAAATGTACATATTAGCACCTAAAATGTACATATTAACACCTAAAATGCACATATTAGCACCTAAAATGTACATATTAACACTTAAAATATACATATTAGCACCTCAAATGTACATATTAGCACCTAAAATGGACAAAAGTTTACCTTTTAAAAAGGTACAGCCCCAGTGACAGCTTTTGTACCTTTTTTTCTGAGAGTGTACATAAAGATGAATTCACAACCCAATTTACTTCTGTACTGTGATAATTTAACAGAATATTTAATGTAAATAAGGTTGGGTGGAACCAACTCTTTTTTTAAAAAGAGTGCTTACAACGTAAAAAACAGACTTGAAAAGAATATACTAAAGTGTGAACTGAATGTAATTTTTGTCAGAAACTTAATTAAATGAAAATGTACTATAGTTTAAATGTATATTACTGTAAATGCAATAAACTGAACTTGGAGTGTTTTTTGACCCACTTAAGTAGGATTTAAGTATGCACTCTAAGAAAAATTGGTTCATTGGGGTTCTATATATGAAGCATAGGGTTCTTTAATCAACTCCAAGGAACCGTTTATGCTAAAAAAGTTTGTATAATGACAAGAAAGAACCCTTTTGGCACAAAAGTTCTTTATAACCTATTATTCATTCATATATTACGTACATTATTCTGCAACATTTTGTAGTTGTAATTAAATTATTGTTTATTAAACTGTTGTAGTAACTTAATATCACATTTTAATCATGCTGATTTTGAGAAGAAAAACTGAAATGGCACTCTTCGTGTTATATTGATTAACTTCATAAAATGATATAAATATACATTTTCTAACCCCCATATCTTGAATTTTGTGATCATTCACATGCATTCATAAATACATTTTAGGGTCTTGATGTTTGTCGATGATATGAAATGTTTAATCCGGAAAGGACAAAACAAATGATAATGAATGAACTCAAAAGGTTCCAAATAGAACCTTTTTCCTGGTTACAAAGAACACTAAAGGGTTCTTATTATTGAACCCTTAAAAAGGGCTGATAGAACCTTATAAGGTTCTATATAGAACCTTTTCTTCAAAGAGTGTAGTGTCCACCTCCATCAGCACTAACCTGTCGTAATCCTGGCAGATCTCTCCCACGGCTATCAAAGCTTTCAGATACTCGTTTGGCTGATATGGGTTGATGTAGTGCAGGGAACAGCTATTGCGAGGGTCCCCATTGGACGCCGTGAAGTCAATGGCAACCTAGAGAGATAATAGTAGGACACACTCTTGATAAAACTGCAAAATGCACGGCAAAAAATGTAATGGGTTACATAATCTGATCGATCGTCAAATGCGTTTAATCGTTTTAGTTTAGCGCCTGGAACAATAGTTGTCGCCATTGTAGAACATTGAAAGGAAATGTCTGTCTACAAAAAGTCAAGCACTCAAGAGCTGTCTTTCCTAGGAAGCTACACAAAACCTGACTTGAACAGATCTGCAATCAAATGCCCATCTGTATAAATAATTAAAGTGCTTAAAATGGACAATATGTAGATTTTATTTGCTTAGAGGCATGCTGATTGTATAGTCATTCATCAAGCAGATGTTATAATCCCAAATAGCACAAACGGCTACCATATGCTCTGTAATACAGAGATACAGCTCATTTCCCAGTAAACACTCGATATTTTGTATTAAACCAGTGCACTACACTTAAATGAAGATCCTATTTGAATCCTACTCCAACCATTCTTCACTCCATGACATCTGGTTATCTTTCATTTTAACAGGCAACGGGAGAATTCAGATATTTAAATAATGAATATTCAATTGGATTCATTAATAATCTTGGCCCATATTGCTGCTCTAAAAGGGAGCGTGAGGTAGGGGACTTAAAACAGTTTGGATGAGGTATTAATTTGTTTTGTTGCCTCCAGCCGTGAAACAATCACATTCTTAGTCAAAATGAAACTCAAGAGATGCTGGTTAAAAAATGTAACAAACATGAGTGGGGATTAAATAACTTATTACCGATCTGGTTTGAAGAATTATCAGCTATTTTCTCTGGCAAAAATAATCAAGAACTTTACGTTTTGCAGTCTGCCTCACAACATCATGTATAAATGAGCTGCATTTGCTGCGAGGAGGCAGTTATCAGTCCAGCACGTCTGGCATCAGTGTCTTCATGCTTGGTGGAGAACTTTGGCAGTAAATCTGTGAAGGGTCTGGATCGCACCGCTGTGCTAAATGTGGAGCGCACTGCTGTTCCCACTTACTGTGAAGTGTATTTGGCAGCCTCCCATGATGTAGTCCAGGAAGGAATAGACTCTGTGAAGCTGCAAAATGAAGAATGGAGGATGAGTAGAAACCCTGCCACATTTATCTGCAAAAGTTATGATACTGATACTACATACCAAACACACACATGTACTGTGTGCAACTCACATAAAGAGTACAAAACATATGGTGTCCATCATCAAAAATTTTTCTTTGGGACACCATGAAAATACACTCACCTAAAGGATTATTAGGAACACCATACTAATACTGTGTTTGACCCCCCTTTCTGCCTTAATTCTACGTGGCATTGATTCAACAATGTGCTGAAAGCATTCTTTAGAAATGTTGGCCCATATTGATAGGATAGCATCTTGCAGCTGATGGAGATTTGTGGGATGCACATCCAGGGCACGAAGCTCCCGTTCCACCACATCCCAAAGATGCTCTACTGGGTATTACATGAACTCATTGTCATGTTCAAGAAACCAATTTGAAATGATTCAAGCTTTGTGACCTGGTGCATTATCCTGCTGGAATTAGCCATCAGAGGATGGGTACATGGTGGTCATAAAGGGATGGACATGGTCAGAAAAATGCACAGGCATTTAAACGATGCCCAATTGGCACTAAGGGGCCTAAATGTGCCAAGAAAACATCCCTCACACCATTAAACCACCACCACCAGCCTGCACAGTGGTAACGAGGCATGATGGATCCATGTTCTCATTCTGTTTACACCAAATTCTGCCTCTACCATCTGAATGTCTCAACAGAAATCGAAACTCATCAGACCAGGCAACATTTTTCCAGTCTTCAACTTTCCAATTTTGGTGAGCTTTTGCAAATTGTAGCCTCTTTTTCCTATTTGTAGTGGAGATGAGTGGTACCCGGTGGGGTCTTCTGCTGTTGTAGCCCATCCGCCTCAAGGTTGTGCGTGTTGTGGCTTCACAAATGCTTTGCTGCATACCTCGGTTGTAACGAGTGGTTATTTCAGTCAAAGTTGCTCTTCTATCAGCTTGAATCAGTCGGCTCTGACCTCTAGCATCAACAAGGCATTTTCTCCCACAGGAATGCCGCATACTGGATGTCTTTCCCTTTTCACACTATTCTTTGTAAACCCTAGAAATGGTTGTGCATGAAAATCCCAGTAACTGAACAGATTGTGAAATACTCAGACAGGCCCGCCTGGCACCAACAACCATGCCACGCTCAAAATTGGCACGCTCTTTCCCATTCTTACATTCAGTTTGGAGTTCAGGAGATTTTCTTGACCAGGACCACACCCCTAAATGCATTGAAGCAACTGCCATGTGATTGGTTGATTAGATAATTGCATTAATGAGAAATTGAACAGGTGTTCCTAATAATCCTTTAGGTGAGTGTAGTATACAAAATGTCATTATAACGTTACTGTACCATGGTACCACCACAGACACAATAGTTTTTGAATGGTTATACGCAACGCATACGAGTTACGTAATCAGATTACTTTTTTCAACTAACTAGTAAAGTAACACATTACATTTAAATCTACAACTGTTACTTTTTCAAATAAGTATGTTTTCCCAATTACAGACTGGCAACTCTCTAGTCCCAATGTTGAGAGAAATGGAGAGAAAGGCAGAGGAGTTGTGTGGCTGTCTAAACATGATGGTTTTGGGGGTTATATCTTCTTGTGTACAATGCAGAATGGCAGCACAGCTGAAAGGTTTGTTTGAATTGCTATACAGGCGTGATTTTGCGTTTTGTGCTGAAAGGGCCTTTACATTTGCCAAAATATGACTTTTTTTGTGAGAACGCAATTCTCAATCTGAATTGATAAATGTTGAAAGAACTGACGTAAACAGCTCTCAAAATAGAAATATCCCCTATGTAAATGTGCACAAACAAAACAAATGCATTAGCCTTTTCCCACCACGCTAATGTCTTTAGGCTAAGCTTGATTGTCACACCCACCCACAACAATAATAACTATGTCTATTCATTGACAGCTTGTTGGCCAGCATTGTGCAGTACTAGCATTCCTAAAACAGGACTCGCATATCTATGAAGCTCTCAAACTGCCAGGCTCTTACCTTGAGATCGCTGAGAATCACCAACCCAGAGTTCTTGTAGTTCTTCTTCTTCAGTTTGTACTTTGGATTGATGCATTCCCACGTGACCTTCAGGAACACAGGAAGAGATCAAAGAGGTGAGATGAAAATGGAAGGTGGCACTGCAGCGAAGTCACTTTAACCACGCATGCAGAAGGGCTGTGACATTTCTTTAATCCATTCTAGACCTCGGCAGATAGCCAACAGCTATATGACCGATTTCAAACACCAAAGGTCTCACACTGACCTTGTTTCCTGAGGAAATCTTCTGCATTTCTTTGAAATTAGTGTAGAATTCACCAATGAAGTCATGCTTTCCCCTCGAGTCATAGTCCCAGACTAAGAACTGCAGTTCACAGACAATTACAACTCATTAACTCGTGTGACTCTTATATTTCCATGTTTCATTTTGCTTTTACTCTTGTCAATATTTCTCTTAAAGGAATAGTTCACTCAAAAGGTTTGATTTTGACACACCAAATCTGCATGGATTACTTAAAGGGATAGTTCACCCCAAAATTTAAATTACTCACCCTCATGTCTTTCGAAACCCATTTGCGTTCATCTTCAGAACACAAATGAAGATGTATTTGATTAAATCTGAGAGATTTCTGTCCCTCCATTGACAGCTACACAACTACCACTTTCACTCATAGATCATGAAACTAATCCATTTGAATTGAGCGCTTTAATCTATTTTCTGAAGAGACTCGATTGCTTCACATGATGAAGAGATTTAATTTAGGCTTCTAATCACATATAAACATTGATCAGACAAAAATATCATTGTCTCTTTATGATCTTTTTGAAGCTTCAAAGTGACAGAAATCTCTTAGATTTCATCAAAAAGATCTTCATTTGTGTTCTGAGGTTTGGAATGACACGAGGGTGAGTAACTAATGACAGAATTGAATTTTTTTTTTTTGGGGGGGTGAACTAACCCACACCAAAATAATTATTTAGCAAAATCTCCAAGATTCTGTATTACAACAGGTATTACAACAGATATTATTACAGAACAGAAATTATAACAGAAATTTACTGGTCAATCAAACAATGATGGAAAACCACTATAAATTCACTACAAATGCAAGGTAGTCCATGCATTTCCCAAGACTCAAGTAATGAATGTAATCCCGCCGGTTAAATAGCAACCCCACCCAAGACCCACCTACAAAGTTACTTGATACTTGCATTTCAGATACTTGCGTTTCCTAAAACTCTCTTCATATTTGGAAATTGAAATGAAAAATGAAAAGTCACATGGGTGATAGAATGCCCATTCTGGAGTGACCGATTGATTAATATTCACCTTCAACTTCCTTTCGTCATCACAGCTGCACAGAGAAATGAGAGACACCTTGAAGGATTCCCACACAGGGTTCAAGTTGTTTTTTATCACCTGCAGATAAAAACAATATCATTGTATAAACTAAATAGGAATATTGAATTGCAAAAGAAAGATTATTATCCGATGGGATGTGACTACTTACTTCAGTTCTGTGCACAAGCTGTTCTGTTCCATCATCATTGATCCGGTAAATCTCCAAGAATGGATCTGACTTGCTGAAGAGATCCTATACAGTCACAAGATAATTTCAGTACCGTCTACACATTCAAAGGAACACATCATGAAATGGACGTTTTCTAAAAGACCCCATGGATTAACGAATGCAATCTTTTCTGAGTTAATGTATTTTCTGAAACGGGAAGTTGGGCGAGGACGGAAAAAGTACTCGTAACACCCTGTTAACAGGCGAATCGAGTGGTGCAGGGATGAAGTCAAACCACAGAAGACTGATTTCGCCACTGGTTCTCTTGAGAATTTTCTATGGGGTTTTATAATGAGGGGTCTATGTTATAGAACACAAAGTCCAAGTATCATTAAGTTATGTTTACCACAGGCTTTTACTCATTAATTGATAAAAAAAATAAAAAAAACGAAACATTATAAACCCCATAGGAAAATCTTGAGAGAACAAGGGGCAAATTAATCTTCTGGGTTTTGACATCATCAAAGAGATCTACAGCATAATTCCAGCTACGTCGCCCGTGACCTTTTGAACGTAATTACGTATTACGTGACGTTACAAACGCGCCTCAGAGAATATAGCAAGGCTAGCATTTGTCCTTATAAAAGTTACATTTTTGGAATTAGTTTTGAAATAACCGATCGTTTCGCATGATAAGACCCTTATTCATCGTCTGGTGTCGTTTAAAGACATTTGAAGCTGCATCTGAAACTGTTATTAACTGTCTTTTGGACCTTGAACCATCCGGTTCCCATTGAAGTCCATTATATGGAGAAAAATCCTGGAATGTTTTCATCAAAAACCTAAATTTCTTTTCGACTGAGGAAAGAAAGACATGGACATCTTGGACGACATGGGGGTGAGTAAATTATCAGCAAAAGTTTTTTCAAAAGTGAACTAATCCTTTAATGCAAATGGGTGGGGTTTCCCTTTAATTGAAACTCAGCATATAGACAACTAGCAAGCTGTTGCGTGACAACTGAACTCTTGTTTTGGAGAGTGGATTGCTTGTGACTGACTGTATTCACTGTCTGACGGTTCAGGACAAATACGAGTACCGTTTACCCTATTTATGAGTATATTTTATATATTTATAAGTTTTAGGGGAATATTTCCATTTTTATATGGATAAAGGCAACAAAAAGACATTCTGAGTTCACTTTAACTACAAATTAGTAAAGGGAACATACAGATGTGCATTAACACTTTCGGGTGGAATAATTGGTCAAGGGAAAATGCATATTTCACTATTCTTTTTCAGAGTGCATGCCCATGTGTGTTCCTGCCGATTGTGCTCCTATAGCTGTGGAAAATCAAATCAACAATATTGTCTGAAACAAACATAAGGTTTCTGAATTGCGGCTCTCCGGAGAAGCCACTGAGGACTTTGTTCCTAAGTGTGCGCAGATGTGAGAGAGAGAACTAGGCAGAGAGAGATAAAGGAAGAGAGAGAGAGAGCGAGAAATGGGTAGAGCAAAGAACGAGCCATTTAATATCCCCATTTCTCGCTGCATTAGTGCGCGACATCTCCACAGGGACGCTGAAAGAGGAGGTGCCCCCACTGTCTGGTTGTCAAGGTAACATCTTGCCAGTGGTTTGAGTGAAGACTGATTTAGACAAGTGATTTGTCTGTTGTTCACATTCATCACATGCATCGCACCTCTGAAATATGTCATTGCGTATGGACCGATGATGATTACCGGCTGCTCATTATTTCCGGAAGACATTTAAGCCTCCCATAGTCCAATGAGACAACAACGGCATTTTCCTTTAACAGATGGCTTAATGCACAGATTAAAGGTTAATTCCGTGCTTGTCTTTTACGATCCGGTGAAAAATAGAGCTATCCCCTGAAAAAGACAAAATATGTGCTAATATCTGCAAAGAACCCAATGTGAATGTACAATGCCAAATGAAGCATTAAAAATCACACAGAAATTGCCATGCGAAGAGTCTTTGATAAATGTCACATAACCCAGGGCGACTTTTCGATTCAAGATGCATTAGCGACTTCTTCATAAAGAGAAATGGCATTCACATAAAGGCACAGACGTCTCCAGAATGAAGTCCAATATAGTTGGATTTGCGAATGTGTCCATTTTGTTTAAATCATATCAGTCTGTGTTCAGAGAAAGCCCACATTCTTTGAACAGACAGATCTTGTCCAAAGATAGAAGCACAGCTATTATTCTGCCTAGCCGTTTATTAGACTCCATCCATCCTCTCGCTATGATATCCGGGCCAGGATGGAGCCATCTCTGGATTTTGAGGATAAGTGTGAAGAAGAAACGCATGTAATACAGCTAATATTAACGATGCAACACATTCAGAATGCCCATATTAATACATGAAGTACATAAAGTCCAGTCAGGAATAATTAACAGACCTGAGGGTAAAAAATGTGAACAGCAATTAAAAGAGAAGGGACAATAAAATCCCCGTCCCTGAAAAAGAGCATTAAAATGGTGAGCTGATGAATATGTTGGGGCTGATTGCAGAGATAGCTTGAAATGAAAGTGAGAATTCAATTTTATTGCATTATAAAATTTGCCATCATTAGCCTTTCAGAATTAGCCTGGTTAATGTTCTGTCAGGCAGGCGGACAAGCTCGTTGCTAGTACAGAAATAAATTAGTGATGTGACCGTGTAGCCTCTGCTTTCATGCATATGCAATGTGCAAAAAAAGTGGCTCCATGTTCCAAACATGATTTTCTGCGTCAGCTTGTGTGTTTTACCAAGAGAAACCCTACTTTAACAAACTTGAGATGGCTTGCTGGATTAGTTTGGTGCATTTTTAAATTTGAGAGGATTATCTACAGACATGGAATATGAGAGGGCGCCACTTGATATGATATTATGGATACATTTGTATAGAGCTGTTTTCACACTGCATAGAAGCTGTGGATATACTGTGCATTTAAGCAGAGGCACAGAGATGGCATGAATGTATTTACACAGATTGACAATTGCAGGAAACAATTGATCACGTGGATATCAGATGCTTTAGGTGCAGAAATTGCCAGGGGTGCGTATCTTAAAAGCTTCTTTAGCCAACTATACTATACATAGGGGTGGTAATGGCGCAGTGGATAAGACACATGCCTTTAGTGTGAGAGGCCGGGTTCAAATCCACTGTGAGACACCAATGTGTCCCTGAGCAAGACACTTAACCCCTAGTTGCTCCAGAGGCGTGCGACCTCTGACATATATAGCAATTGTAAGTCGCTTTGGATAAAAGCGCCAGCTAAATTAATAAAAAAAAATGTTTAAAAAAAATCTATACTCACAGTTGCATTGTTACAAACATACACCACCAGGCCAAAAAACAAAAAACTTTATTAGGCAAATGCTTTAGATGCGTCTATGATTGGATCATTATTGCAGTGATATGTTTCTAGCATGTTAAAATGTTTGGCAACAGTTCGTATAACTCTTTAATTGATGCAGTGTGTAGCTTTTCATTCATTCATCATGGCCACATTCCAGGATGACAATCAGTCATCAGGCTCAAATTGTGAAAGAGTAAAGGAGTAGTTAACTTTTGAAAAAACTTTTGCTGATAATTTACTCACCCCCATGTCATCCAAGATGTCCATGTCTTTCTTTCTTCAGTCGAAAAGAAATTAAGGTTTTTGATGAAAACATTCCAGGATTTTTCTCCATATAATGGACTTCAATGGGAACCAAACCAAACCATTTAGTTCATTAAACGATTGACTCGGAAAAAGATTCGTTCATTTTGATGACCGAGTTCGAACAGGAGAGTCACGAACGTGCATCGGAGTACAGAGCAAGGCGACCTGATAAAACTTAAACTTTGTTATTTATTCATTAAATGAGCTATCGTTTCACTTGATAAGACCTTTATTCATCGTCTGGAATCGTTTAAAGCCCTTTGAACAGTTTGCACTGAAACTCTCATTTGGACCTTGAACTGTTTGGTTCCCATTGAAGTCCATTATATGGAGAAAAATCCTGGAATGTTTTCATCAAAAACCTTAATTTCTTTTCAACTGAAGAAAGAATGACATGGACATCTTGGATGACATGGGGGTGAGTAAACTATCAGCTTTAAATTCATTAATAGTCTTTGGGAAGTGCTTAAGGAGACTTTACAGAGTGCTGGACTCTTGCATTGTCAATATTTCCATCAAGAGGTGCATCATTTTTTGGAATAGTGAAAGAGGAATTGTTAGAGTTTAGGGCTTTCCATTCAGATCAACCAATCATTTCCATCTAATTAAAACGGAAGAAGAATGGTTTTCCAGCACCAGCAAAAGATTTTGATCCACGTCCTAGTTGGCAAAATCACAGTCAGCCAATGGTTTGCGTGGGTGCTTTGGCTTACCGTAAGCATCTCCAATCAGGATCACAGCCTGTGCTTTTTGTCATGAAACAGATGCCAAATAGCATTTCTGTCTCACTGTAAAAAGATGAATAGACGATATATTGATTTCACCACCTAATGTGGGGTTGAAGTGAAGCTTGAGTGAACATGTCATAGATATTGATTTGCTGTTTCCCCTCATTACTTGAGATGCATGAATTCATGAAAGCCAGATTTAAAAAGGGTTGAGGAATGAACATAAAAAAGCTGTTTTAGAGATAACCGCTGAGCACAAATGTCGCCCCGGGCTAAGAGGAAGAGAACAGCAGCATACGAAAGAGGAAGAGGGAGGGCGGGAGGAACAAGAGGAAAGAGTAGGAGAAGCAGATGAGATGAGTGCTGAGAGTAGGACGAGGGCTGCAGAGGCGTTTGTGTAAGTGCAGACACCTGCAGGACTCCAGGGCACGGAGAGAGCTGCACCGTGGGCCGATCTGTGTGGGAGAGAGTCAGCCAGCCACCCTACGCTCCCTAAGCCGACCCTCGCTATTCACAGAGCTTCCATTCTCATTAGGAAACCTCAGCTGAATGAATAGGGTTTCAAACATTATGCCGAAGCCAAAAAGAGAGAGTGGGATTTTATGAAGCCACAATAGCCCTAATGGCTCTTAAAAGGGCTGAAATGGACGATCCAAAACATTAGAAGTGAGTTGAAAGGTTCTTTGGCAGCTGCAATTATTGGTTTCAAAAGGTACAAAAATCACTGCTTTACAAACAAAGAATATCATTTACTATCACTAGGTTCACTTTAATGGGTGTAAACTCTGGTGAGTTGGACTACCTGTTTTGTTTTGGTTTTTTTGTTGTTTTTTTGGGGGTGGGTGGGGGAGGGGGGGG